TAAAGCCTTTCTTTTTTGTTTAAACAGAAAAAGGGGAAATGATGGAGGTGGGTCTTGTAATAATAAAGAAACTGCCTCGGCCCTCATAGGACAGAAAATTAGGTAGGCGGAGTAGACAGAAGAGAATTCTGGGAGAAAGAAGCTTAGGAGGAGTCGCCATGATGCTCCCACTCCAGACAGATGCAGGTTAAGATCCTCTCTGGTAAGCCAACTCATGGGCTACACAGAATATTAGAAATGGGTTAGAACAATATGTAAGAGCCAATAAGAAACTGGACCTAGCCGGGCCAGGCAGTGTTTGAAAGAATACAGTTTCCATGTAATTATTTCGGGCATAAGCTAGCCATGCGGGCGGCCGGGTGCCGGGGACGCAGCCCTGCCGCAGCTCCTATTTCAACACAATGGCTTGCTCAGCCTGCTTTCATATAGTTCCCAGACCTAGAAGCCCAATGGTAACATTGCTTACAATGAGGTAGGAATGCCCATGTCAGTCATCTACAAAGAAAATACCCAACAGGGTTTTACTCAGGACATTTTCTCATGTGAGGTTTCCTCATTTCAAATGACTATAGCTTGGGTCAACTTGTTATAAATCTAGCAACCATATTATATCCGAAACCCCTCTTCTTTATTTACCATGTTCTCCATGTGATTGTAAATCGACTTTTGTCCTTATTGCCTCTCTACAGACAAATATTTCTGTCATTACTAAAATGTGTACACAAAACCATTGCTGTCCTAGTCCTCTTCACCTGTCATATTGCCACTACGGCTGATACCGGTTGTTAAACTTGATCTCATATGTATGTGTGTATATAGACTTTGTATTCTAAAATTGTACTGCAATGTTTCTTCAAACAGTTTGCATTCTGCACTCCTATTCACATTTTCTCATATTGTGAAAACTTTCAATCATTTAAAACATCAACAGAAAGATAGGCTAAGTGAACTGTTCACTTCAGTGTATATCCACGTAGCCTGCCTTTTAGTTTTGTGTAGCCTGTCACAGTGCTCTTCTGGAGCGGCGTAAATGAATGCAGACAGATTATAAAAAAAATATACAAAGCTTTAATAGTGAAATAGACTTACAGTACCACGACTCCCGCGGAGAACAGGAAGCAGAAGGGAAGGGTTGGGTGCACGCCAGGCAGATTTATAGGTAAACATTAGCCCGAGGTGAACCTGCCCCCAGTGGGCTGGGCTTAACCCTCCACTCTTAAGATTTTGCTTCCATACAGTTTAAAATATTAAAATATTTAAAATATTAAGATTTTTATGGTTTTGTTTTTGGACCTTTGCTACAGTTACATTGGAGAAATTTCTGTTCTTAGAATTTACTTATTTAAATAAGACATTCTCTTGAGGATACAGTTGTAGTTTGCATATCTTGGATAGTAGATTCTCATTACATTTTTGATTTGCAAACTTTTTGTTCCATTGCCTGCTCCATCTCTCTGTCTTTCCTTTCATGCTTTTGTTCTTGTCTCTGTGAGATATTTTAGTTGCTATTTTAGATGTAGCCCATTTGGAATTTGTAACCCTTTAAAGGGATAATTTGGGGAACATGGACTGAAACAGAAATGTTACAAGGAGATATGATGGTGAGTATGATTTTTCATATAAGGTTTTTCAATGCAGAATGAATGATATCACCTATGTGCTGGCTTTTTTACCTACCATCTTTCAAAGATTTCTCCACAAAATGACATTTGTACTTATCACCCACTTCAGGGTATGTATCATTTTTATTCTGTCTTCTACAGTGATTCTGGAGTTAATGTAAGTAGGATAGACATAGGAAATGAAGGAAGGACTGACATTCAGACACATGTATTGAAGGTCTGGGAGTCCATAGGTTGTACTTGCTTTGGTGAAGTTAATCCATTGTGACTAACTTGTCAGTGCACTTAATGTATATATCTGGATCCAGGAGATGTGTTTCTTGTATATGGCTGAGAGAGTAAGGTTTATGGTATATGGATGAAAAAGGGTTATGGTATGTGGGAGAAAAAGGAGACCTACTGATAATAGGTTTCTGTGAAATATCATCTCAGACTTTACATATCCATTTAGAAGGAAGCTAGCTAGGAGGATAGATTTGCTGTTGCACTGAGTCTCACCTGTGAAATGTTTTGACAATCCCATGAGTCTGATGCATTGGGACATAGCCATGGCTATATCCATGTCAAATAGATAGATAGATAGATGATAGATAGATATACATATACATATATAGATAGATAGATAGATAGATAGATAGATAGATGATAGATATAGATATATATTCTCTAAGAACTTCATTATATGTCCACAAGTTCTTAAGATATACTTTGAAGTGTATAAGGTTTGGAACTTATTGATCTTTGGATTTTATTTTTAGATAGTACATCTTCAAGGTTTTTTACTCACAAGCATGTACACTGTTTACCATCTTTCCTGTATTGGTCTCCATTTTCATTTTTAAAACAATTTTTTTTTCTAGAAATGCACGTAGACTAGCATTTTGGGTAGACTAGCATTTTGTGACCCTCAAGGAAACCTTTAAGTTTTTTTCTAATACTGGAATACGTTTTTGCACAACCCCTCGTCTTGACATATTTATGTGGGTACAAAGGTTTTTTTATTTGGTTTTACATGCTAATATATTGGGCAATTTATTGCTTGTACCTTGCCAACAGTCTCTCTTTTCCTTTTCCTTTGTATATGTCTATACCCTATGTTACCATAACATTCTGACATGTCGATAAGTTTCCTTATCAAATTATTTCCATATAATTATTCACATCTATACTAATTCCTTAAATAAATGAATTACTCTCCAGGTAATTCAACATGAAAGATCATGAACTGTATCTGAGGAACAACCATGTGTACTTAGCATGTGAGTCTGCCCTGCTGTGCCTTCATACTGATATCAGCTTTGGAAGAGACCCACAACTGCAATCCTGCGCAGAGAACCTGTGAGTAATCTAATGTGCAGCTGGGAGTTGTGATCTCATATGGTTTTGTGTTCATTTTTTCTGGTAAAATTCAGAGAAAGTACTAATGTCTGGGAACTGGAGCTCAAGTATCGAATAGTCTTCCTGATTTTGTAGGTAGGGGTCAGATTCCCCCTAGGTATACATGGTAAATTTTCCTGTTGAAAGTCATTCTGCTTAATCTCTTTTTACCACATGGTCAGATGTAGAAGTCAGCTTGATTCAAGAAATAAGCAGGGTAGCTAAATGATATAGCAATTATATTTTTATTTACTTATAGGGAAAAAAAAAACCTCATGAAACAGGAACAAGAATTCCAAGCTCAGCTTTGCTTTTTGGGAACCACAGAGAGAGTGCACCTGTGCTGTGCACCCAATTTTTTTTTCCAGGTACCAGAAAGCCACACTCTATCTTTGTCCCACCTCTTGAAGATAATTGGTTAACAAAGATTCCCCGTATTCCAGTATTAAAGAATGCTTATAAAGTGATATTAAATGTTGGAGGAGAGGATAAAATGATCTGTCTTGTAAACTACTAAGGAAAGGTATCCAAATTTGTGTTGAGGTTTTAAACGGATTTTAGTTGGCCACATTGTGCTCCATTTTGTTGTTATAAGGGCTGCTTTTTGGTCCCTGACTGCTCAGCCCATAAATAATCACACATAAGCTATATTATTTAAAACACTGCTTGTCCAATGACTTTAGCACATTTCTGGTTAACTCATATTCTAAACTAACCCATCTCCATTAATCTGTGTATCACCATGTGGCTGTGGCTTACAGGGAACAGTTCTGTCCCGTTTCTGTCTCCGACAGGGACTATATCATTTCTCCCCTATTTCTTCTCCTTTCTACTAGGATTCAGTTTAGTTTGCCCTGCCTAAATTCTGCTCTAGCAACAGGCCAAGGAAGTTTCTTTATATATCAACTGTATTCACAGAATACAGATGGAACTTCCACATCAGATGCCCCAGTGTTACAGAAGAACTTCAATTGACTATCCAGGCAAATGTTTGAAAAGGTTTTTTTAAATTTGCCTATTTGTAAACATAGAAATGATTATTGTGGTACTTGGATCTATTCAGTGGAGATGCTGGCTGCCATGGCAGAGAATATCTTACCCTACAGCTTCTCCAATTAATTACCATTGCTGGGTTGAGCTTTTCCTTGGTGCATGTGCCTGAATTCTATCTGTAACCCTACTAAGCACAGATATTCACAAATTAGTATTTAAAAACAATTTTTAAAATTTTATAGATGCCCTTTCAAGGATGAATGGACCTTTCTTCATTTTTCACTAGGGAAAGATAAATATCAGGAAAGTATCTCAAGGTGCAGTTATTACTATATTTTGAAAATTGTTTAACTTTTGAAATTATAATATTATTACAAAATTTAACCTGATGCATTCTTCATGCAAACCCTCTTATACATCCCTTTTTACTCTCATTAAAATTCATGTCCATTTAAAACATTCTTTGATGTTTTATGTACATAATTATATCAATGTACACACATATTTTAATAGCTAAAGACACCCTGTTTGGTCTGTCTACTGTTATTTTTTATATTTTCAGTGCTGACCATTAAGTAATCAAAACCATTTGTGTATGTACTTCCCTTGTTAAAATGATTTTTTTCAAATCTTTTGAATGAAGTACATTTTCTCCAGTATTCTTTGCTTTGTCTTTATATGAAGTAAAGATTTGTCTTTTGAGCATTGCTTTTGATACTTACTTGTCTATAGTCTATGTGAAACTCTAGATGGCACCAGTGTACCTCAAATTTCATAACTATATTCTTCAGTAAGCTGACTGATGCTAGGCCTCCTCTTATTCTTTCCTTAGGAAATATATATTTCTTAAGCATCCCTTTCTAGGGAAGATAAATGTGGAAATACATTAAATTAGACCCATCACAGAGAGAGGGCATAGATGACATTTATCTCTTTCTCTCTCAATATAATCTATGGCTGCACATCTATAACTTATGAGTTAAATTATTAGTAGTAAATGACATTTTTTAGTCCTTAATTTATCTTAGATATGTTTATAATCATGTGTGTTGTTTAATATTTTAGCACATCTGAAAGCAGACAGTGTGAGTAAAATGCTTATTCTCATGACAGTTTCATCAGTAATGCACTTCTTGTGGTTCTATACAAATTTTAGAAAAGTTTCGAACATTGCAGAAAAGAATGGCATAAGTGGAGATCTGTATGCCCACTGTATGAATATTGCAGTCATAAAACTATTGAAACTACTTGTGTGGAAATTTTGAGCTTTCTAAACCTTATGTAGATCTTACTTATCCTATGAAAAGTTTAAGCATAGAGTTTCTCGATATTTATTCCTAAATATTTTCCTGTTTATTTTATAATCCTGATGTAGGATCTCACAAGATTGCTCATGATAATCTCAGACTCAAGCATGCAGGAAGTGCTTCTCCCCAACTTCTCAGAAGGTTTCACTGAAGACACTCACCACACCTAGCTGGTGGTAATACAAATCTTGTTTTATTTTTCTCTTTTCTTTTTAATTACATTTCTTGCATATAACATTTCATCAGATTTTTATGTTTTCATGTAGTAGTATGTCTGATGGTATATTTATAAGTCCATATTTTGTATATGACTTACTATTTCTGCAAATATTATATCCTATTCATTTTAATTAGATATAGTTTATGTTTTTGCTATAGAAACAACTACTGTTCATTTTCTCCAGTCATTTCTCTGAAGACAATGTCCAGTGAAGTGACATACACTTGTATTTTTTCTTTCTGACTTTTGGGGACATACTGAACCTTTGGATTCTAGGTATTATGTCCCTTTAAATTCATAATATTTAAGTTTAATGCATGACCTGATATCTTGAGTATTTTCTTCATCTTGGATTTATCTTTCTTAATAAATATAAATATTTCATACATTTATATGAGTTTTGCTTTTTTAATTTCAATTCTTTTATCTTGTTCTCCTTTTCTGCTGAAACAGTATTTCTTAACTATTGTGATATATACTTCCCTTTTATATTTAAAAATATAAGAACTNTTATAGATGTATACATACACAAACACACACACTCTGTATAAGTACAACCACTTGAATACATTTGTTGTTCTTAGTTCTACAGTATTCAGTGGATGAAACTGCAAAATTGTAATGCTGTTAGATACTATAATATCTTTGAAAGTGGTGGTAAGGTCTAATAAGTTACATGGACTCACTAACCCTATCATGTTTGTGGTTTGCAGCCTTAGGCATTCTTTACCTCTTTTTAAGAAGACTTGAATACAATTATTAGATAATAGTTATTGATAAGATATATGAACCAGTAGTGCATTTTAGTGAAAACTAGCTATGTTGGTCATTGTCATTCAAAGGTATAATAACTAAATTATAAAATTGAATCCTTTTTTTTTTCTGTGACAACTTTCATAAGAAATTCCTGGTCTCTGATAGCTAATTCTCAGGTTCCAGGGTTTTATATGGTTCCTGTTCAAATTTTTATAGTTCCATAACAAAAACAGTGTTTTAATAATAGACAATTTATTTCTACTTCTTGGAAGCAACCAAGGTCAGTAGTAACAGACAATTAGCTTAGTAGTCTCCTGGGCTGCCTTACTAACAATCAGGAAGGTGTTTTCTCTTGACTGGCTCTGATGTTCTTTTTAGTCAGTCATGGCCCCTACTGGGCAGGGTATCTTCCAAAATGTGTGCAAACTCCTCTAATCGATGTACATACTTTATATGTATTAGATAATTTTGAGAGTTTCTTGTCATTTTGACCATACTTAGAGTTTCTACTTATTTATTTTATAAATTTACCTGTTAAATGCTACTAGAAACGCTTTGCATAAATGGCAAGTCATAATATTATGTGTATATTTATCATATCTATTTTTTAAATTTATAGTGGTGGAATATTTTATACTTTCTGATAAATTAACATATCCAATATGATATTTAAAAATATTTGAGTCTCTTGATTGACCTATCTTGTTTGTTTTAAATTTTGAATTTTTACTTCATTTTTGTCTATTATTATTTGGTAGTTGCTGTCTTATTTGGTATCAATTTATTTTTATTTATTATACATAGGAGACATCATACTCTAAAATTGGTCTACCAGAGTAAAGAGATAGGTGGTGATGTAGACATGGGATTTATATGCCACTCCTTTTTTTCTGATTCTGGGTCTTCTGACAACACATTAACACATTGGCAATTATTGTTCCAGCAAAGCCCTATATTTGTGTCACCAGGCATTTTTTAGGATATAATTCATTTCACTAAATACATATTTTTGCTGATTGTAATATTTTTTTCAGTCATTTCTGCCTTTATATGACCATTTCTTTTATTAATGCTACAATAATTATTTTTTAATAATTGCTGTCTTCACTAAGTTTAATATCTAGATCCGTATTGGTATATGGGAAATTTAAGTGTACTTTATGTGTTGTTGAGTGAGGATCTCAATTTTCATATTGTATCAACTTGTCCCATTGCAAATATCAGAAGTTTTTTGAAATTCAGTGATATTTTAGACACACACACACACACACACAATCCCATTATAATATCAGAATTGGTCGACCAGTCTAATGGGCTGGTATTCTCTAGGATCTGTGACAAAATCTGTGTCAACTGAAAAGCTGAAATTGGAAGGAGGAGGATCACCATTGTTGACCTTGTCTCTCTACCATTTTACACATATAGCAGAACCCTCACACATACATAAACATATACACAAATGTATTTAAGTGTTCATTTGGAGCACCTGATTTCATTTCACTAGTCTATATTTAACTCTATACCTTATCCTAGTGACTTAAGGATAACTAATTTGTCCTAAGGTTTAAAACATGAGTGAAAATTTCAGTTCTCTGTCTTTGCTCTTCTAACTGAATATTATGTCAATATTGGCTATTTTATGGCAATTCCTTATGAACTATAATGAGTTTGATCATAAGCCATATCTTCATCATTGTGGCTGGGATATTTTTAGTATCTAAATAGCTTTGAAAATTATTGGCTTCTAAAGTCAATTAATTGCCATATTTAAAATATAAATGCATATTATTAACAATCTTAAATACATGTTTAGAGATTTAAAAATCTATTTTTCCATATTTTGTTATTTTACTTCCATCATTCATTTCTTGTAGAACTTCCGACTGTACTGTTTAGTAAAGTTCCAATTCAAGCCATGCTTTCTCTCCGCATCTCAAGAAGTTGACACTGGTAGGAAACACCTTCGGTGAGTTTATGGTATTATAGAATGACGTATTTCATTTTGGATTGTTGATTACCCACATCAACAATTAGATTGCATTCTATCTGTCTTTTTATTTTGGAATTTGCTGGGTATTTACGGAAATATTGAAAGCTAGGGTAATGATCATGTCCTATTGCACTATCATCCACATCACACACAATTTGTATGATTTAGACTTTTGTACAAGATTTCTTGGGTCACAGCAACTGAAAATGACAGTTTAGGAGATATTGAGAGCAGGGTTATTGACATTTGTTTCTGTTATATTACATATTTAGAATGTGGAGGCAAACTCTAAAATTTTCTACCTGCAAGATGATGGAGTTCCTGTTATGTGAAGAATGAATGAAGAGTAATTCTTCTTCCATGTAGATAAAGTGGAGTGTTTCCTGGTCTATTTCTATGGCCAACATAGATGGAGCTGGTCGGGCATACACTGCTATAGATAGGAACAGCAGCCTTCTGGCAGATCTTTTTTCTCTATGCATCCTAATCTTGTAATGAGTCTAGTGTAAGATTTATTCTGGTAGGTGTATGTCCTATCCTAGATAAAGAAAATAGGTGATCTTTGTGATGTTCAAGTTTATTTTTAAATTTAACCCATTTTATTCATGTATTCAATTTTTATAACCAGTTTGCATATGTATTTTGAATATTATCTTACATTAAATAAGCTTTAAGATTATTTTAAACTACTTTAGAATTCCTTACTTTTCTTTAAATTTTATATCATGCTCATATGACTATAAAATAGGTTATATAAATTGGTCTCTCCTTCTATACATAAATGAATTAAATTTGACTTAGCAAGGCTACAAACATAGCTCAATGAACATTAAAAAATTAGATAATTTATATGGTTACTAACCATTTAATTTTCTGTCTTAATTATCTAGGTTGCAACAATTTTCAATAAACTTGAATTTCTGATGTGCTGTGGGACAATGGTCTGTATCCTGTCAATAATATTTTAAATATACACTGATTGGACAGTAGCCAGACAGGAAGTATAGGCAAGACAAACAGACAGGAGGTAGAGGTGGGTCAGTTAGAACAGGAGAATTCTGGGAAGAATGAAGTTCCTTCTGCAGTCCTGACCTAGCCACAGAAAAAGCAAGATGTGACTGCCTTACTGAAAATGGTACCAATCCACATGGCTAACATAGACAAAAATAATGGGCTAATATTAGAGTTAATAAGAAGCCTGAGCTATTGGGCCAATTAGTTTATAACTAATGTAGACCCCTGTGTGATTTCTTTGGGACTTAAGGAATGCAAGACCAGGCTGAACAGAAAACTCAGTCAACAGAATGGCACCCACGTGAACAACTGCATCCACATAAAGACTGAGAGAGTTTGGGAAGTTATTCTAGACGAAAATAATAAATTTAAGCATGGCTTATTGATAGCAGAATTTTCTCAGGTGGGCTCTGCTTGCTAGAGACAATTGCTCTCATTTAAGAGAGGTTTCCTGATGCAACTTTAGCTTCAAAACCCTGCAGCTCTTTTAAGAGGTCCTGGCACAAAACACTTAAACGGTTTTATGTATGATGCTTTTTGTTTATTCTGTTTAACCATATTGGAAGATATGGAGTCCCAGTTTCTTTTAAAAAGTCAAAGAATTAATAAAAATGATTAGTTTGATTAATAGCACTAGAGTAAGTTTGATTCATTGCTTGTGAGTTATGGTAGTGTGAAAATATA